CCAAGTTATTTAACTAGTCAGAACTCAGCTGACCAAAACACATTACCAGATTATGAGCCACACTTATTGTAAGGAGTTACTAATGATACTAGATTGTTTTTGAGTATGAAGTCGGTTAAGTGATATTTGAACCCTGGATCCATCGGCCAAAAGTCAATGAATCACAAACGCAGCTCCAACCTGTGACGACGAGTTGATTGAAGCTCAAGTAAGTGCACCGTACAGCGCATAGATACACTTCATTACTCGGTAATATTTCTTGATCTGATCCACCCTAATACTATTCAAACAAATAATGATCTTCAAGGAAGACAGTGATTACCACATATATTTAACAACTGTGGCTTCGTCTAGTTTTTTTTTGAGAACACATTGAAAGAACTAAACACTGAACAGCTGAAAAGGAACAACTTTTATATCTATGATAAGCAATACAGAAGCGCCAATAATATCTTCAATATCTCTGGTATTGGTGCTGCATATGTTTGGTGTAGATTAGGAGAAGAAAGATTCAGTAATCAACCTCTCTCTCTCCACATGCCTATATTTCCTTCTTAAAAGAGCAGCTTTGTCCCACCCTATTGTGTGTTGATGTATGCATTCCAATTACCGAGTTTTTCTCTAATCAAATGATAAGAAATAATGGAAAGATATAAACAAAATCTGGGACAGTCTTTGTCTAGAACAGTTTAGAGTTCTGTAAAAATAATTCGCTAAACACAATTTGTAAAGAATCACAAATCACTCATCTTTACAGTGCCAATATTAGTTTAATCTAGCTAGCTAAGTGTACAAGTGATGGAGAGGTTTTTTTGCAGCTCGGTATGATTCATTTTTGATGTGTGGTTCTATTCACTGAGATGAGTGATTTTCAATTGCAAAGCTTTTATAGTCTTTCCAGACAAGGTAAAGAAAGTCTTCAGTGCAGACTTCACACTGAAGTTAAACCACAACTGCATTGAATCTATATATGGATGTCACTGAATTCTGTATGCCGTAACAAATTAAAGAGAAGACACTTGCTTATATATTAATAAAAATCTAAGGGTAATATTGTTTGAATGGATAGATAGAATGTAATAAAAAAAATGACCTATCTAGCGGATAGGCACCTAAAGCTCTCTGCATGAAGAGAACCGTTAGTTCACTATAGGATAAATACTGGGAGAAAGTTCACTTTGTTCTACGAAAAGGTGTACAGCTTTATGCATGCATCACCACCATACGGTGTTAACATGTGTGTATTTCACCCCCGATAGGCAGGTAGGTAGGTGAAATATCCTCCTTGCAAATTGTTTTACTAGCAGTTAATATCTATGTCTTAGATGAAATTAAACATTGGGAGAATAAATAACTCAGTTCCTGCGTAATACATCCATCCATCAATCCATCCACACACACACACACACACAAACGGACATACGCATTATAATTATCCAATTAGCATAAAATACCGAAACTAATTGTAACATACAATGAATAAAATTGAGAAAATTGTGTTGAATCTTGTTAAGGTTAATTATACAAGTAAAAGAGAAAGAAGGTTAACAGTATGATCTGATTACTGATCCACTGTGAATCACCAAATTGATGAAACATATTGCACAAAACACCTACACACAATTCACTAATTAACACTGTACCCTACGCTTGCAGTGGAATCCAGGAGGCAGGTTCACTCACCCCTATTAGCGTTAGGTCTTGCTTCTCTAACTGATGAGTTCCGAATAGGACACCATGCTTGTTCTAAATTCCACCTTATCCACTCAGTAACATCATAATAACCTCGAGAATTCATCCTAGAAGTGTCCATAATAAGAGCCGACGTGTCAACAGCAGGAAATTCAATAACAATCACTTCAACAAGAATAACCCCATATGCCTCTGGAGGGTTATCAATTTCTTGAAAAGAATACGATTGGTTCTACCAACATACTATTGTCTGATAAAGTCAGGTTGCAAGTATACAAGACTATGGTGTATAGTGCAGTGATAAGTCTACCACCAAATTAGTACACAAAAAATGCTGACAACTTAACTAGAAACTATTGCTTGGCAACACTTAGTGCTGCTGTCTTTTTTTAATGGTGTTGAATTAAATTGGTGGACGGTAACTAGTAGTGGAATCCAGGATGCCTATTTCGTCCTACTTGGGACTTATCATCCGGATGTGCCCGGAATCCCCAGTGACAGTGTTCCCCCTAAGGCTAGAACCCGGCACCCATAGTTTCGAACGTCAAAGAGTTATTCACTAGACCACTTGGACCGCGAGTGCCACCTATTTGTGCAAAGGTAATTATTTGATTCAATTTAAACTTTCCCTTCTGACTGATTGGATCGAAGTACTAAACCTCACGATAACATGTCGGCTCCTTGTTCAGATGCTTCGACGATGTCTGGTCATGTAACGTGAAATGAATTGGTATAGATTTCTGTCTGAGGTAATATTAATAGTAATAGTGTGTGTTCAGTAATTATTACCAATCAAGATAAGCTGTAAACACACAGAAGTAGCCTAAGAAAAATGATAAATTACTCGTATTTCGTTTTATTTGCTTTCCTGATCAAGTTTGGTTGTTTTATTCAACACACCTGTTTAATGACACATAGAATATGAAAAAATGAAGGAGTTCAGGACTTGTTCCCCGAGGAGATGAAAAATTGCATATTGATACAGTATTTTGACGTGAAATTACTCAATTATTAAGTAGATAATATCAAGTCAAAATAGAGGTACTAATGTGGCGTGTGCTGCCAATAAGATTTATCAGTAGTAATATAAAGAGACATTCATCGGCATAAAAAACACCAAATAGCAGGCAGATAGATTTGATGTCACAGAAAGCAAATTATACAGCGTTGCGAAGATACATGGGAGATGTAAAAAGGAACACAAAGAAACACAATACGAAGAGAGGCAGAAGTAGCACAATACGGAAGATCTGTGCAAATGGTGAGTTGAATATAAGATGTACATAATTCCCTTATATAGAGATGCCAAATTGCAAATAAACATTCTTTTACCAAGTCTCTTGTCTTCTACCGCTACATTAATTCTTGATTAACATATTGAAAACGTTAGTAGAATTACGCGAAGATAAACACTTTTTCCAAGATTGGTCACGGACTAACTTCAATTATGGTATCATTGGAAAACTAGGATGCAGTTAACAGCTGTTTCGTGCTTGTTTCACACTCTTCAATACTACTCCAAGTCCCAAACAAGGACGACGACACTCACTGGCGTTTATGCTATGTTGAGAATTGGTAAAAGTTAGGACTGATGGGACACTGGATTCCATCCTGGTGACTGAATACTCTTAGAGCTCGAATTGCAGCTGAAAAGTCATGGGTTTAATCCCCTGGTGGGTGCATACTAATGAAAGGTCCCAAACAGGGACGAAACAGCTGTGCAGTACTCCACTGCTGGTTTTCTATAGTTCTCGAACTTAAGTTAATTAGTGATAAATCTTGAAATCAATCAAATCACTGCAAACTTATACTTGAAAATGTCACTCTTTTCCAACTACTTTCTGATCATCAAGAAACTGACATCAGAGTTAGGAAATCATGAAATATCAGACAGCACTGGGTACAGGTGTTTTTTTCCCGGCTTGGGTATCAGTCTAGTGTTCACCATAGTTGCTGGCTCCAAGAAATACATTTTTCGAAGTACTGAATAGAACACCAGTGGGGACAACCAATTCACTGCTCACTGATGCGAAAATAGCTCCGTGAATTTCTTTTCAATTTCATGTCTTATTAACCTTGAATTATTTTATCACCTTCAGCGTAGTGACAGACTTTACATATTCGGTTAATTATAACGAAAATGACTTAATTATACGAAGACTTTTCAGTAACTCTGTTTATCTGACGATTTTTCCAAGACTTTAATCAAAAAAAGAACTGATATGGTTCAATGATGCAGGTCCGTCAGACACGAAGGAGGTTCAGATTCGACTCCCATCCGACGCGATCCTAAAACCTCACCTAATAAGTAGTAAGTCCGAAAAAGAGGGAACACTGGGTGTGAAACTAGCCACCCCACCCAGTGAAAACAAAATAACAATACTGCTACTGAAGCTTCGAAAGGCTGAAGCCCTATGTTCCATTTGGAAAACAAAGAAATAGAAAAAAAAATACAAATCAACTCAATCAGGTTACTACTAGTGCTCCTTTTAGTCCTTCATAAGAATAACAATAAAATCAGTAGTCTGATTCAAAAGGATGATTTTTTCTAGATGCTATCCATCAATTATCCACACCTTGAAGGTTGGAGTAGCTTTACATGTAGGCCAATAGACTATAAAGTCATGTGAAGTAATTGTTCGTATTCTTTTTCGTTCTGAGTGGAACGCAGAACTTCAAGCTTGAGCCTTAAAGTTTCAGTAGCAGTGGTTTTGCTCTTTTCAATGGAATGAGGTCGCTAGTCTCACACCTAAACTTCCCTCTTTACCAGGTTTACTTACCGACTAAGCGAAGTTTAGGACTGAGTTGGCCAGGGGTCGAACCCCCGAAACACGCGTGTCGTTGACGAGTGCTCGACTACTGAACTGCCGACGAACACCATTTAGAGTCAAAACCTACGAAATTTATAATTAACTTATAAAATAATATGAAATGATGGATATTATTATTATAATTAATTGTGTAATTCAGATTTTGGCTTTTGTAGATATTTTCATTAATTTCGCTGTAGATCTCGTCACGAGCCGACATCAATTAGAGAGTCACCAAAGGAGCAAGGAGCACACTGAACAACTGTTCAGTAACAGTTTGTGAGACTCTTGAACTATGCTCACTGAAACAACTGTCCACTGTGCTTTTTGATCCCAATGATCCTCTAACTATTTCTGCGTAGATCAAGATCAACTTTGTTGATACACCTCTAGAAAGAATTAGCTGTAATACTTTTGCCTTTAAAAAAAGAAAAAATAAGAATGGCGAGAAAACAGACAACCAATGCACGCATACATACATAGATACACTTAACTCACCTTTTGAGTCGATTATTTTGCCTACTAGACCAAGTTCACCAAATGTCCGACCATCTGAACCAACATGACCAATATGCCGAAAATCATTCTGTGGTAGACTGATTTGATCGGCTGTAATTTTTCCACGTGAACGTGAGGCATTATTATTATTATTATTCATTCCATCAGAAGGAATGATAACACTGAGTTTACTGAATCGAGATACTGTTTCTGTGTACGCGAAAATAAAACATGAAAGAAATTTGAAAACAAAATAAATATAAGTATGAATGTAGCGAAGATAGAAACAAGTTAAGCAGTCTGGTTAAATTGCAAAAAATCTTTTGCTTTAACAAAACAACGAATCAACAGGTAAAAGACTCAACGGTCTTAGCACAAAATATCATATATATATATATATATATACATACATATATATGTGCGTCGGTGGTATAGCGGTTAGGACGCTTGCCAACCATGCACATGGTCCGGGGTTCGATCCCCGGCCGACGCACTCCTTTACCTCGTTGAGCCAGAAATAATTCTGGTAAAGAGGAAAGGTTGGGCATGAGGCTAGCAACCCCATCCTGTAAAATAAACACTGCTACAGAATCTTCAAGCTACTAGCTTGAAGCCCCATGTTCCACTAGGAACGTGAAGGAAAAGAAAAAAAATATATATATATACATATATATAATGGTCTATTGTCACTCCTGTAGAAAATTATAATTCATCTGTACAAAGATGTGGTTAACCTAGGCAGTCATTCGGTCAGATGAAATCTTAGGCGACACATGACCTTACATTAGACTAATAAAATATTAACAACTGTTAAAATTCATTGCGTTCTAAGTGGAACATTGGGCGCTAGGAACATATCTCCATTTTTTGATTGCACACTAGTCAGTAACTAGTGTGCAACCAAAAATATCCAATACAGTCCTACAGGAGATCAATCGCGAACCTGAATAGCTAAGTGGTAACGTCTCTGACTGCAGCACTGGGTGACGCGGGTTCGAATCTCAGATGGGACATGAGTTCCTTCAAGGTTGCAGATACGCCTTGCTGATGAGTGCCAACTAGCACGAAACCTAGGTCCAAGGCTCCCTGCCGATTGCTTCCAACCATCTAGTACCAACATATCTCCATTGCAATGCATTGTGTTCTCTGAAATCACTTCCAACGATTGACCACAATCTTTCATCATTTCATTTTAACATGACCTTCTCTGTGTTACCGTCAGATATCTAACAAGTTTCTTTCCATTCAGGTTCCATTCGGGGGCCTGGATGGCGTGTGATGTCACATAAGTGTCTTTTCAGAGTATATCGAATCAGTCCATACTTTCTTTTGCACAGTGATTGAGCGATTGATTCTTAACTGGTTCTCTGTCAGAGTAGCTTGTTGATGATTACGTTCTCTGGTCATCATCTAATCTTCCAATCCTAAGCCTCGTAAAGGGATGGGGGTTTGACGTGAGGCTAGCAACCATACTCATATCCATCATTAGGAAAAACCACCTTATAGCACGAAAACAACAAAGTGTTCGAATTTATCAGTAATGTAAGGTTTTCATACAACTTATCAAATCTTTGAGGCATAAGAAAAACCAGGTATATGGTGGAACATCATCGAAGAAACTATATGTTGTTTTAGGTGGAAAATATATTACGGGAAAAAGGAGAAGAAAAACTACCACTAGATCTGGAATTTTAAAAAGAAAAAAAGAAAATGCTAACAGATGTTCAAGCATTTTTTTAGACATTATGTAAGTACTTTGTGAATATCAATCATATATATGTATATATCTCCATGTGTGAATAATAATTCCATATTTTTCTCGACTGAAAAAAACACGACTATCTAATAGAATAAAAAACGATCTTACAATCGAATAAGTAAAGAATAAGGCCATTACATTACTGAATTAATCAAAAGCAGAGAACTGGTTCCCATTTGGACATACATACGCACGTTTGTATGTGGTAGTCTTAGTGAACCAACCGAAGAAAGCCATATAAATGATATTGAAGAGTCTACTTAGTACCGCGTGTTTATCAAGAGCTTAAACTGTTTGGTCCACCGAAATGAAGGGCCTTAAGTGAACAGTCTTTTCGAATCTTGTCTGCGGAACTTTAGTCTTCAAAGACCTATCCATTCACCGTATCTTATTATCTTCCATCTTTTGGTTACGATGAAATCAATCTTCCATGCACCCCCCCTCTCACTTATCTACATTGCTAACCATAACAAATCTTGTGTTACGAGGAATTTCCTTCTAAAAGGGCATATACTACTGAAATCTTAGTGTCGAATAAAAAAACTTTTGGATTCAGATTTCTACCAAATAAACTGAAGTGTACATTTTTTAAATGGTGGTAATTTCAATGTCGATTTCGTCACCGACCGCCATCACCAACCGACGGTAACGCCATTGTCTGGAGTTAGAAAATCCATGGGTTATTTAATTCTAACCCAGCGGCTAAATGATCAACGGGATGGCCTTTGAGTTCTACTCACGGTGGAGTACGCACTGATGAAAAGTCCCAAGCAAACAAAGACGAGACAGATACCACCCAGCGCTCTTTCATCTTCACTGGTTCAGCACAAAATTAATCACAACGCCAAATCGAAATCGGTTATCGGGCAATGTGATAAATATAACAGGCTCCACGACGCGGCTGAAGACAACAAACAACGTAAAACTAACTTATATAATTCAGTATGAATATGTTTATTTGAGTTCATTTTTTCTTCAACTTTTAAATTGCCCTGTCTGTCGGAATATTTATTCCTTTTACCATTCTTATTCAGGTCATCCATAGATTTTGCCTAATGAGGTGGAAAAAACGCATTAGTTCACATTGCCAAACTTCGTAAACGTAATGAAAAGAAATGCAAAAGACTAGAATAGACGAAATTTAGTAAGGACATTTAGAATCCGGACAACAGCAGAGAGTGAATCCATCTGCGCCACTAAGAATGATTTTCCGCTACGCCACTAGGAGTCATCACTTATTGATTTTTAGCATCACAAGAACTCCGAGCCAGACAGTCTTCACTACTTTATATGGTTGAAACCAACAATCAGGCATATCATAGATTAGTTTTATATTTCCAGTAGCATTGGATTTTGAGAATGCTATTCAGGAGACATGCGTAATATACCTCCTGTCCATCTGGATCAATCAAACATCGTTATCGTGGATACTGAACGAAGTCACATAAAAGTGAAAAGATTTATTGACTCACGACGGAATAAGAATAAAAGTAGGTTGTGATGAAGAAGAATAACAAGGCCTTCAAACAATACGGCATATAACCAATGTTAAGTACACAGATTTCAGTTTAACTTAATTTTTTTAACTGATAGTATTATCCGTGTGAATATATATATATATATATATATATATAGCATACTCACTGAATACTTGGAAAATAAAACACAAACACTAGCGTTAATTCAAGCATTACAAAATAACCGCTTTTTTATAATATGCACAGAATGAAGGCGAACGAATACCAACAAGCGAACAAAAAAGTTGGAAGGAACAACAGAAACAAACAAACAATCAAACAGACAAATAAACAAAAATAGTAGAAAACCCACGCAAAAATGAAATGCTAATTTCAGACAATGAATGCAAAAAGAGAGAAGAAATGAAAAAAATAATAGAACTGCATGAGAAAAGAATCAATTAGTATTGTTATTCTCTTTCGTTATTTAAAATCTATTTGCATACAAAACAAAGCAGAACAAAATAAAAATAGCCCAATTTACAAGTTACACTTTTGCATACACTGACATTCATTATCAATGAACCAATTTGTGTGAATAGATTAGTTTGAAGTAATGACTAAAACAGTGAGAGGAATTCATAATCATCATGGTAGGCAGGATGGTTGAACAAAGGGTTTTCTCACATTACTGTCATATGAGCTGCAGCACTCAACTCTCAGTGAATGATATTAAACAGAGACTGAACAACAGACGACTGGTAACATATCTAACTGCGACACTATGTGACTGAAGAAGGTTCCTATCGCAGAAGGGGAGAATCAGCTCGTTCGAGGTACTGTCGAGTGGGACCTAGGTCTCTAAGGCTTCACTTAGCATCAAAATGAAACCCAACTAGGTGTGCTACATATATATTCTCATAAAGGTGTTGAATTTATGCGTGAGGTGAATCACAAACAGTTTCTATGCTCTAGAAGTGATTACTAGTGATCCCTGGGAAATACTATCAGTGCCTTTGTAAATTAGCGAAATCTTGCAACCACGGTCATGTCGTGTAACGGTGAACAGCGATCAGAAAGCATTATTGACTGCCTGGATGTAAAGTACCCAAATTAATTAGTCTACAGATCAATTAGACCATAACTAATTGAAATACACTGAGGTGTCTAGAAATAAATGAATTTAGTAAGTGTGATCCGATTTCTAGTCTAATCTGCCAAATAGATCATGGGTTCAAATCCTACAACAACTGTTAGCAAGTCATATATCTTTGTTATCTTTCACGATTCTACACAAACACACACAAAAAAACAATATTAATATTGGTGGGAAATACTAAGATGATGAAGAAGAATCCAATAGCACTACTAACAGACCTCATATTAACAACAGAAGTAGTAGTAGTAGTATATTATTAGTACTTCGAAAAAGTACAGACAAATCTCATTCCAACCCCCTCCACCCAATATTTACTCATATAAAGTTAACAAAGTCATACAAGCAAAAGCATTCTGTAAATCACAAAGCAGATAAGCGCATAACATAACATTCAAAAAAAAGAAAAGAAAAACTTACTACGTATAGCCAAGTCAGTTAGTGAAGCTGAATTCAGATTATTAAGAAAATTCTACTTGTAGACAGAAATCTTTACTAGTAATAAATTAAATAATTTTATTATATAGTATTATGACCAGTTGAATTGGCCGTGTTTTCTCAGCTGGTTGGTTGGATTTAACTGCGAAGCTTCCGTTGTCCACTATCTAGACAACACCTTCAGCGCAGGTTTTTTATGCTAAAACTTGAGCTGAAGACGAAAGCTTCACGGTTAAGTCATTCAACTAGCTCAGAGGACACAACTAATCCAATATCATTCACCTGAGCTACAAATCTCTTCCATTATTTCAGTGGTATGCCTTTGTATCAAAGACAATTAGACATAAGCAAAGATGACAAGTGTGTGTGTGTGTGTGAAGGGTAGAATGTCAGTGAGTTCTAGCCAAACACTACTCCGAAGAGACAGATACCCCTTGGACTCCAGTTGCGGTAAGGACTGTAATAAAAAGTGAGCGATTAGTAGCTTGCTGTGATACGCTGGATAATCGAATGAATTAAATCCGACACAGAAACACATTTTGATCTATTTTATTAGAACCATTAAGGCAAAGTAAATCAACTTCAGTGGGGGAAATATATATGATATACAATGAAGAACAAAGAGACTAGGAATATTTTGTCTACTTCTTATAGTACTTGTCAGCAATACATACTGTGTCAGATCTAAGGAAGCTTTTCCTTTCATTAACCATTCAACGCATACTGTGACGAGTACTACTGATAAGATTTATCAGTAGTATATAAAAAAGACGTTCATCGGCACAAAAACACATTTGACGTCACAGAAAGCAAATGATACAGAGTTGTGGAGATACATGGGAGACGTGTAAGGAACACAATATGAAGTGCAAAAGTAGCACAACATGAAGATCTGTGCTAATGGTGATTTGAAGATAAGGTATGCATAATTCGGATATATAGAGATACCAATTTCCAAATAAACACTCCTTTACCAAGTCTACGCCTTCCACCGTTTCAACACTACTAACAAAATAGATGGCTGTCAGTCAGACATTCGCATCTCTACAATACGTATGAGTAAACAGTTTTATTAAATGTCTGTTCTCTTGAGTGTTATGCGTTAGCATACAAAATAAAATAATACACTGTGTTAATACAATAATAATCTCTGTCTACTAACCTCTTCTACTCATGCGCAGACGAGTTTTGGCTACTAGTCCCAGGGTGTTTGAATTTCCAGAAGTATTATTATTATTATTGTTGTTATTTGTAGCTGATGTTTGATCACGAAATGATGAATCTTTTTCGCCTGTATACGGTTTTAAAATACTCGATGGAATACAACCAACAAGACCAGTACGTAAATTGACTACTTTCCATGTTGTACTACTTCTACAAAAATTAAAGGGAAAGAATAGAAGGAGAGTAGAAGAGGCATTAGAATTTACAATGAACTCAGCAACAACAACAACAACACCAACAATGCTTAAAATGTACACCTGAGACATTAAATATCCTTAAGTGGGTAAATAAGACTTTAATAAATTCCAAGCCAAAATGTTACAGACCGTTGACTTCCGATTAATGGAATTCTTCTCAAGTAACAATGATCATATTATTTTCTGTGTCTACATATAACTAAAATTAAAATATGAAATGCTTAAGACAGTTTATACAGTGTCTAGAGAATTTTTGTTGTCACACTGAGAGAAGTACCACAGAGCGAGGATCTTACTTGTTTCAACTAAAGATATCAGTAACCTTTGCAATGAAAGAGTTGGTTGTTGGTCATCAATACCATTACTATGCATACTGCACATATATTTTTCGTCTCCTTTTTTCACGTGTATAACACAATTAAATGAATGTTGAGACATGTATTGTTGATTTAAGCACTCGACTTTCGGTCAATAGGTCTTGGCGTACACAATCCCACTTCCACCTAATACAACCTGAGCAGCTAAGCAGTGTCTTTAACTTTAATACACTATTTATTATTATTATTATTATTTTATCATTCCCTGTGATTACGTGTGGAACAGCACATCTCCATTTTGTCCTGTTCTCTGCAGTGCTCATCAGGCGGCTGAGTGATTACCCATAGAGTCTCATCCTCGGACTCACGCTCAACTCGCCGTTTTTCACTCGAGTTCCATTCGACGGTCTGGTGGGCGATATTACCCGACAGCCTCCTAAGCGTGTATCCAATCCATCTCCATTTACTTTGGGATCTTTGTTGAGCAGTCGGTTCTTTCCCATAGTTTCTTGTTGCCAATTCTTTCTCTCTGGCTATCTGATCTTCATTATGGAGCCAGAGAATGCAGTTGTCGATAAACGTTTGCGCCTGATACACCATATAGAGGGACTGACTTAACAATACTGGTATTGAAAATCCAAATCTTGTTACTTATGCTGAGTTAGCGTGGCAGATTTCCAAACTGATTTCAGAGTGATGAAGTCCCGCCTTGCCTTTCCAGTTCTGGTTTTGACATCCTCATTCTTGCTGTCGCTGGTAGTTGGAACAATGCTGCCTAGATAAATGAAGGAAGTGACCACTTTCAAATTTATCCCGTCGATAGTGATTGGTGCTGGTTGGTTGGTCGGTTATCTTCATCACCTTCGTCTTCTCTATATTCACTCAAAGTCCTCTCTTCACTGTCAGCTTCTTCTCAAAACTGGTTGGTTACCGCCTGCAGATCTTCCAGTTTATGTGACATTAGACATCAATTGTCCGGGAAGTACGGATCTTCTAGAGTCTTCTTATCTATCCAATGTATTCCTGTCTTCTCGCATAATCCAATCTACCGCAGTTACACAGCCTTGTCTTACTCGCATATCTTCGCTTCAAAAGCTTCGCTGTGTTTCCCGTTGTGCATCACTTGATATGTGGCATTGTCATACATCTGTTGAATGAGGTTGTGACTAAGTCAGTTACGGGTTATTCGATTGTAACTAACACAGAAAAAATAGGTCTAAGCTAGCACACAGCATTCCTTTTTACATAGTAACGCGTAAGCATTGAAGTTGAGATCCCCTCATATTTCTAATTAAATCAAGGATATTCAACAAAGGTATCGACTTGAAGGTAAAAATAAAAACATCTTCATAACATCAATATGAAAATCTCATTGAACTAAGATGGTAGAATATACAAGAGAGAGAGAGAAGGAGGCTAACATTCATTTCTTTCCATAACATAATTTTACTTAAGTGTGTTGATAGCTTGAATAATTCTTACCCTATTCATCTATTTATCTATCTATCAGTAGCATATATATACATATATATATTTCAATGATGTCAGTTCTGCTGTAAAATCGAGAATTTTTATCCATCGAATATATTAACTCCTGCATAAAACATAAAAGGTTATCAGCGATCATCATCATCATCATAATAATAATAATAATAATAACTGATTGACAGAAAATAAAAAGATGTTATTGTTTGTTTTAAAACAAGGAAACCTAGTTTTTTTTTTCCTACCCACTAAATAAATAAATCAACAGATCTTTTAAAATAACTGACTGATCACTCACTTAGAATAGGGATGAAAAAAGAATTAATTCAGCAAAGAAAAAAAACTTTCCGAGGATATTTGTTGTAAAATTTGATATGCGAAGGTGAGATTTCTTGGAAAGTCATCAATCTAAGTGTATCAAACACACTTCTTATGGTCAATAAATACACACAGAGTATATGCTCAATTTAATATGTACTATGCGTCGGTAGTTCATTGGTGGAATGCGCGCCAACCAAGAATGTGACCCGAAGTTCGACCCTCGGCCGACGCACTGCTAAACCTCCCCCAGCCGGTAATGATAGCGGTAAAGGGAGGAGGTTGGGTATGAAGCCAGCAACCACGCCTCGTAAAAATATAACACCACTGTTACCGAAAATTCAAAGCCCTACGTTCCACTGGGAATAAAGTAAAAATTATTTTTTAAAACAGTATGTACCATGAAAAACTAAGGCTTATGTAGATGTCGATATGGACCTATTACTTTGATATTGTCATATCGGGGCTAATTGTATTAGACGTAACAAGCAAGTGCTCTAGAAACACACGAAATCAAATATTATGCTGTATTCTGGAAACAGGGGGGAACACGGGAGGATGAAATCTTATCTAAATTAGACTACTCTAAAAGACTATGTTTTCATTATTCGCGTATACGTGGAACACTGGTCAGTCATACGTGAACAAAAACTGAGTGAAGCTATGTTCAAAAACCCTTTCTTCACCTTGGCTCTAATAATGTTCCTTGTGAGTTAATCTCAATCCACTTCAAATTGTCGCAATCTATTATCGTTATCAACATTATCGCAGTGATGATTGTAGAGTGTCAACAGCACTTGACCCACTTTAAACCTCTTAATATCAATTCGTTTCTTGAAAAACAAATCTTTTTCATTTATTTTATCCACATCGACCTTATCCCCTTCAAAAACTGTAATAGCTTAAAGCTTTGTCATAAGTGTGATTGACTAAGCAACTTTTAGTACCATTAAAATTACCATCTCACCTACAAGCTTGAAAAAAAAGTCATTGAAATACAACAAAATATTTCTTCTTTGGATAAACCTTTTATACTTCTATTCTTATTCATGAATAAATGTGGTATACTTGGTCGTTTAAATTAGAACAGCGAAAGTAAACTATAGTCGTTTTCGAATTTAAACCAAGAAATTGACCACTACTGAATTACTACCATTATTATAACTTGACTGACAGAATTCAATCAATACCATAAAGGACTTCAAAAATGATGCTGGTCAAACCTCAGTGGACAAGTAATGTAAACATTCCGGTGCTACCGGATGTGAATCACAAGCTCAAGTAGCCGAGTATTAACATCTCTGACTGCAGTCCCTCTGTGAGGCTGTGTTACTCATGCCTAGTCAGTCATCGCCTTCCTCGACGAGGAATGTTAGCTGACATAGGATCAAGTTGGAAAAGAGTTAGCTAGTGCTGGTCAAACCAAAACATGGCTTCATCTGCCAATGAAATCCATAACTTCATTATGGGTAAATTTTGTTTTGATAAAGTCTCACAGTGTTATACAGTAATGTTTACTGTAATATGGTTCAAAATCGTTCTCAACGGTGAAGATGCGGCCACTCTTTGTAATCTCTCGAATCCACTAAACCATCATGCTTCCCCCTAACATTTCTTCTTCTTATTACTCTTTTGAGTATCTTTTCTTCGCTGTTTTGTCTTTCTTAGTGTGCTCTAAATGGAGTGTGGCGACTCGAACTGCTGTACTTCTGTTAAACGTCCTATGTCCAGTCAGCCAGTCATTCAGCATCCGAAGAGGGTTGAAGATGCGTCTCATCGACGAGTGCCAACAAACACGAAACCTAAGTTTAGGGTTTCTTGTTGAAGCCCTTACCTCAACCATTTAAGTAACACAACCCATTCACACTCCAGGTAAAACGATTGTTAAGCAAACAATGTTAGTTTAATTAGCAATAATTGTATGTGACAGCCGTTAATGTCATTCTTCAGTATATATAGAAAGTATCTTTACCTTGAAAGTTTTGCTATTCACTTGATGGTTCCGCAGTGCCAATTTCGTAAAGGAATATCTTTTAAGATTTAAAAGACTTCCTTAATTAATTATCTTATTTTATATATTATTTTGTTCATTAGGCAATCCTGACAGATTCAGTGTTCCAATCCAATCAAACAAGTTATACAGTGAGTTTACAACTAAACTAAAGATGTTTACTGTAAGAGAAGAATATATCTTAGTACCGCAGCCCTTTCCCCCCCCCGGATGCTTGATTGGAAACAGTCTATTCACAGTTCTATTCTAGTCATACAATTGTCACACAGATATAACATTACCCAGGCCTTTAAAAAGTAATTTATCGCATTTCTACGAATCTTAATTCTGCTTTATGAAATAGTCTTTTAGCATACAGACTGCAGAAACCAAATGTTATGTTATATTGTGAAGAGGAAGTGAATAATTAATCATTATTCTAAGTGACTGAATCACAGAGAAAGGTTACATAGTTCACAAATTTGTACAATCGAATGATTGTAAGCCAGCCAGCCAGCCAGTCGGCAGATAAGAAACTTAATGGAAATCATTAAAATTTGGATTGAAAGAGAAGAGAAAGAACATTGAGAATATGCATTCAGAGTGTAGGAAAATTGCAGAGTTTAGAGTGATACATATCAATAAACATTTTTTACACACAACAGAAATACTACATACACGGAGAAATTAAAACTATTCGGATGAAATAAATATAGGTTAAATGGCTTACCGTTTACCGAGTACACAAACTGTTTCATTTGCTCGAATAAACAATGGCCGACCTAGTGATCGTGTTCCATGCGGACGAAATCCAGGATTATAAGGAAATTCTTCAGTTGTACTAATTGTATCCATATTAGGATCTGAATCTGGATGATATTCATTTGTAGTTATCCAAACTTCAGGACTAAGACGTGGAAGCATACCTGTGAATATTAGGAAATTATACATACGATTATATACATATTCTTCACCCTCAAAAGATAACGATACAAGACATGAAGGTTAACTAACACTTTTCACCAGTGTCCCACTTACGGAAACTATTTTTCCACATGTAAATATGTAGATGATGACCAGTTAAACATTAGAATACCAACAAAATGTTTGAACGAACTGATGCTGAAGTGTATACATGTATCAATTCACCTGTTCAACGCGTATCCTGTCAAGGAGGGTTGCCAAACACCACCCCACCGGTGATAGTGGCTCCACTATGAAGAGTGTGACAATCGAACACATTGTCAACATTGGTCATTCCATCTCAACAGACGCCTCCTTCAAAATAATCTACAAAGTGAAGAACAGCCGACCACCGAAGGCAATACGCTTTAGTGACCTTTGCATTGCTGAATCTTTAGTCATTCAGACAGAGGAACTGGAGTTATACATACAATTGAAACTTATTCAATCACACATTCTATCATGGTGACAGCCTTGTTGATTTCCATTAACTTTATTTTTCTTTGTTTGTTTATTTTGATAAATTACATAGTGTTATACAGTAATATTAACTGATAACGTTTCGAGCACAAACTATTGCTCATAATCATGATGCAGTAATGACTGAAGGTGAAATTAAATTATTTGGTCCCTGAAATACTCCAGTTACCGAAATCCTCATTTCTATAACACCAGGTGAACTGTGGTGAGAGCTGGCTGCTAGCCAAAGTCGGTAGACAGTAATTGACGTCAATGTTTATGTCTCCAATATTGGTGGTGAGAAAATGAGAACAAAGGCTTTGCGTAGGCGGATACAGTTAACATATGGATGATCTGACACAGCCACGACGAGATGCAAGGTTAACTTTATGTGAGAAACAACCAATCAAAAGACTGCATTTTCTAGTAACAATAATCTACAATAATGTACATTAAAATCTATAAATATGTGTTGATTTTCCTTAATAAACGATCTGTTGCCTGACCCTTGTCTTTTGTCGATACAGAACAAAGAGACTGAGTTGCAATCATCATGAGTGATGTCCATTTATCATGTGAATAAATGATAAATAAATGTCTATGCACCATAACAATACCTTTTCAGTTGGGTTTTCTCCTGTCAGTCATACTGGTGTGTAAGAAGGATGAGAGAAGCAGAGTATTAAGTGATGATGGGACCATGTGGAATAACTTTCGACTGACAGACAACTAATGGTGCAACTTTTTTTTCATTCTTTGTGACCCCAGTAACACATATGGCTCGAAAAATTTCGATGGCAGTGGTGTCGCTTCAGTGGGGTGAAGTTGCTGGCCACCCTAAGCCCAACCTTCCCATTTTTCTGGCATTATTGGTGGTTGACAAAATAGACGAGATAAGTGGAGTGCATTGACCTGGGAATCACACGCCGGGTAACCAACGACTGGTGAGCAGCATTCCATCATTAAACTATCGATGCACCTGCTACTAATGTAATGGGTGGTGATTATTATTACACTTTTAAACTCAAAACTAACATACTATAAGAGTCAGCTAATTCAAAAATTAAAGTCAATCAGACAGATGATAAAAAATGGATCTAGCAGGATTTTAACTAAATAAAAAAAGAAGATAAATAAACAGCTTATTGTTAATTTTAAACGCTTCAACGAAAAATTTCCGGACAAAATATTTACATTTCAAAGGAAACAATAATAAACGCGCGATGACGACATTGTGTTACAGCAATAATTGAAATAAGGCAGAGATTCAATTTAGAATCTCGCCAAAAAATGTATTTCTTCACAATTCTATATACTGCTGTAACAGTACACAAAGAGGAAGTAAACACGACTACTGTGCGCACCAGTAAAGCACTAATTAAAAGAAAGCATAAAAGGTGTGAAAGGAAATAAATATCCAGCAGCAGCAGCAGCCATCTAACCCTTAATTTTTGGTTATTGTCTTCTTTTTTTCTTCTTCTTCCAAAGAAAAACAATAAACAGAAAACATTTACACCTTTTAGAAACCCTATTTAGCTTGTTATAAATCCAAGGTAGCTTTGATTAATGTGTATCAGCGAAAACGAATTAAGCATTTCTAGTATTACACACACGCACACATTATTAGAACCCAGGTGGTTGGAAGAGGACTAGGTCTGTGAGACGTAGCTACTACCTACCTAAGTGCCCGGACAGGAGTTACATAAAGAGCGATTCCAGCTTGGGTCGTGTTTGGTTGAAAACTGTGACTGCAATAAGTCAGTAGGATACAACATCTCGGACCAAAAGAAAGATATACGATTGAGACATTCAAATATATAGGCAAAGTATAAAATTTGGTAGCTGAAACATAACAAAACTTGTGAAACTATAGTTGTACTTTTAGATTTTATGTACGTGACTATGCGCATGACGTAGTGCTTTTTATAGCAGGACTGTTTAATCGTATTAGTGTGTATGTGTGTGTAACAGGTGTATCACAGTGAAGACAAAACAAACGGTAGCTATAGAATGAAAAGATAGGTGAGAAAATTTTAAAAAAACAACTACTTGTTATGCATATAACAAGCACCAGTTAATCTTTACTGTTTTACATGATTAATGAATGTTTTAGAAGTGAAAGTGTGAGAATTTTACAAAGAAAGAGAAAGAAAACACATTGACGTTGAATACAACTCAATAATTTTATGCACATGTTGGGTTAATTTTGAACTATTTAGCCACGAAAGAGTGATTGTACGAATTACTAATACAATAATGATAATAACAATATCTACCATTTTTAATCGGATCAGAAAATAATACGTGTCATCTTTTTATACGATGAATCTACTCATCACTGATATACAACGTGAGTACAAACAGTCAGTCTATACACACACACACACACACACAACTGCATACTCATTTGCTACTTGACACAACTTAATAGGTCAAGAGTTGATTTGTAAGGATTCAATCTGTTTTTCGAGTTAGACAACAGACTGATATCAGTTAGAGGACTATTGGAAACCAGGGTGTACTGGACAGCTGTTTCATCCTAGTTTGGGACTCATCAGCAATACACACCCACTAGGTTTCGAACCCATAAAAGGTGCATCTAAGTAGAAGTTCTTCTAACCTGGCTGTCAGTATTCCGATATTCAAGTCTTTGTCTTCCAAGTACTTGTATAAGAAACAAATCGTCTGAGTAATCAGGACATTTGTGAAGAGAGATTCGACATCGAGTGATATTGTGCGACTGTCGCCCACTTTCATATGACCCTGATACAGTCCATAAATTCAAACCCATTTCGAACAGTTATGCCAATAGATCAAATTCAAAATTTGCACCAGACAGTTTTCTTTAGAATAAAAAATTATTCAGCTTATAAATGTGATCTGCTTGATACTATGAATGGTGATCAACAAAGCCAGTATAATTGCATGAAACAGTATATACTACTGACTGACTGACATAAGTAGTCGTATGCCACTTATATAGCAACCAGTAGTGTTTGTTAGCAGCCATTGATGAGTTCGGCCGTAAAACGAGCGAAAAAACCACCTAATGTGATTAGGTCACCTCGATCTGGCTAGCAAGCGCTACTACTACTACTACTTGATGTTAGTGGTATAAAACCACTCATTTCACTCGATCAGTATTATATAATTTCTAAATTTAATGTAAGAAAAAAACTGAGTAACAAACAGAAATCCTAAAGTGATATAAATCTATGACGAAGAAAACGGCAGATCAAATATAGAACCGAAAATGAGAGTGAAATATAATTCAGGCTCTTCATTTCACTTGTTTTGTGGATAGAAACAAAGACAATTTGCCAATATTTCTTAACAGATATCATAGATGAAGAATACAGAGAACAACTCAATCAACTGAGATGTAACGAGGAATGGCTGACAACTCGCCCTGATAAAGACACTGGCAAAGTCCTAATGGACACAAAAGAATGCATTGATAAAATGCTGGCAATTCTTCCAGATAACAACAAGTTCGTTGCATCTGACAAAGAGAAAGACAAGACAGAAATAATTGGAATGCAACTCACTGAGACATTGAAAAAGCTAAACAGTGATCAACTTATCTCTCAAAAAGTCTATGGGAACACTCGACCAAGACTATGCGGATTCCCAAAATACCCACAAACAGGTACTTTCATTACGCGCTATTTTGGACATGTTCGGACCTCCATACCATCAAATCGCAAAATGGCTGGCAGAAGTCCTATAGTCTGTTAGAGAAAAAATTTTGAAATACTCTCTTCGAGACACGTTTGAATTCGTCGACTGTATTAGAGATGTGAAAGTGGGCGACAATCGCATGATATCACTCGATGTCGAATCTCTCTTCACAAAGGTCTAGATTACGAAGACGATTTGTTTCTTATACAAGTATTCGGAAGACAATGACATGTACAGCGCAATACAAACACCCAGGTTAGAAGAACTTCTTTTTAGATTCACTTTGAGCGTTCAATTCACATTCAATGGTACTGTGTACATACAACAAGACGGTGTGGCTATGGGTTCACCTCTAAGCCCAGAACTTGTAGCCATTTTCACGGAAGTTTGGAAAGTGGGCCGTTGAAACCGACCATCGACAACTTGTTTCTCTACAAAAGGTACGTTGATGACACTTCTTTCATTTTTGATTATTATCAAAAATGAAAAAAGTGTGACCTAATTAATATCCTTCAAGTTTTTAATAGCTGCCACTTAATCATCATACTTACAACTGAAGAAGGAGGACAGACAATCTCGTTTCTGGATGTTCGACTAATAAAGAAGGATGATGGGACTTTGAACAGATCAGTAAATAGAAAGCCTACGTGAAACGTCCAGTTGAAAAACTTTTACAGTTTGGTACCCATCGATCGCAAGCGATACCTAGAATCCAAAGAATCTGCAGCCCTGAATCAGTAAAAGAAGAGATCACTATGTTGAGGAAGACACTACTTTAGAATGGTTATCCCTCACGCTTTATAGGTGAACACGTAAAGCCCAA